TATGGGGCAGCAGTGACAGCTGATATGTTGAGGGAAGAGGAAGATGCAGGATACTATGGGGAGTGGCAGTGACAGCTGACATGTGGAGGGAAGAGGAAGATGCAGAATGGTATGGGGCAGCAGTGACAGCTGACATGTGGAGGAAAGAGGAAGATGCAGGATACTATGGGGGTGACAGTGACAGCTGACATGTGGAGGGGAAGAGGAAGATGCAGGATGGTATGGGGCAGCAGTGACAGCTGACATGTGGAGGGAAGAGGAAGATGCTGGATGGTATGGAGCGGCAGTGACAGCTGACAGGTGGTGGGAAGGGGAAGAGGAAGATGCCGGATACCATGAGGGAGGGGCAGCAGTGACAGCTGACATGTGGAGGGAAGAGGAAGATGCAGGATGGTATGGGGTGGCAGTGACAGCTGACATGTGGAGGGAAGAGGAAGATGCAGGATGGTATGGGGCGGCAGTGACAGCTGACATGTGGAGGGAAAGAGGAAGATGCAGGATGGTATGGGGCAGCAGTGACGACTGACATGTGGAGGGAAGAGAAAGATGCATGATACTATGCGGTGGCAGTGACAGCTGACATGTGGTGGGAAGGGGAAGATGCAGGATACTATGGGGGGCAGCAGTGACAGCTGACATGTGGAGGGAAGAGGAAGATGCAGGATACTATGGGGCGGCAGTGACAGCTGACATGTGGAGGGAAGAGGAAGATGCAGGATGGTATGGGGCAGCAGTGACAGCTGATATGTTGAGGGAAGAGGAAGATGCAGGATACTATGGGGGGTGGCAGTGACAGCTGACATGTGGAGGGAAGAGGAAGATGCAGAATGGTATGGGGCAGCAGTGACAGCTGACATGTGGAGGAAAGAGGAAGATGCAGGATACTATGGGGGTGACAGTGACAGCTGACATGTGGAGGGAAGAGGAAGATGCAGGATGGTATGGGGCAGCAGTGACAGCTGACATGTGGAGGGAAGAGGAAGATGCTGGATGGTATGGAGCGGCAGTGACAGCTGACATGTGGTGGGAAGGGGAAGAGGAAGATGCCGGATACTATGAGGGGCAGCAGTGACAGCTGACATGTGGAGGTAAGAGGAAGATGCAGGATGGTATGGGGTGGCAGTGACAGCTGACATGTGGAGGGAGGAGGAAGATGCAGGATGGTATGGGGCGGCAGTGACAGCTGACATGTGGAGGGAGGAGGAAGATGCAGGATGGTATGGGGGGCGGCAGTGACAGCTGACATGTGGTGGGAAGGGGAAGAGAAATATGCCGGATACTATGAGGGGCAGCAGTGACAGCTGACATGTGGAGGGAAGAGGAAGATGCAGGATACTATGGGGGGTGGCAGTGTGACAGCTGACATGTGGAGGGAAGAGAAAGATGCAGGATGGTATGGGGGGCAGCAGCAGTGACAGCTGACATGTGGAGGGAAGAGGAAGATGCAGGATACTATGGGGGTGGCAGGCAGTGACAGCTGACATGTGGAGGGAAGAGGAATATGCAGGATTGTATGGGGCAGCAGTAACAGCTGACATGTGGAGGGAAGAGGAAGATGCAGGATGGTATGGAGCGGCAGTGACAGCTGACATGTGGTGGGAAGGGGAAGAGGAAGATGCCGGATACTATAAGGGGCAGCAGTGACAGCTGACATGTGGAGGTAAGAGGAAGATGCAGGATGGTATGGGGTGGCAGTGACAGCTGACATGTGGAGAGAGGAGGAAGATGCAGGATGGTATGGGGCGGCAGTGACAGCTGACATGTGGTGGGAAGGGGAAGAGAAATATGCCGGATACTATGAGGGGCAGCAGTGACAGCTGACATGTGGAGGGAAGAGGAAGATGCAGGAACTATGGGGGGTGCAGGACAGCTGACATGTGGAGGGAAGAGGAAGATGTGGCAGTGACAGCTGACATGTGGAGGGAAGAGGAAGATGCAGGATACTATGGGGCAGGCAGCTGAGTGAAAGATAAAGACATGACATGGTGGAGGGAAGATGGAGGGAAGCGGAAGATGCAGGATGGTATGGGGGCAGTGACAGCTGACATGTGGAGGGAAGATAAAGATGCAGGATGGTAGGGGGGGGCAGTGACAGCTGACATGTGGAGGGAGGAAGATGCAGGATGGATGGGGCAGGATGGCTATGGGGGGAAGAGGAAGACAGATGACATGGGGTGGACAGTGACAGCTGACATGTGGAGGGAAGAGGAAGATGCAGGATGGTATGGGGCAGCAGTGACAGCTGACATGTGGAGGGAAGAGGAAGATGCAGGATACTATGGGGGGTGGCAGTGACAGCTGACATGTGGAGGGAAGAGGAAGATGCTGGATGGTATGGGGGCAGCAGTGACAGCTGACATGTGGAGGGAAGAGGAAGAAGATGCAGGATACTATGGGGGGTGGAGTATGGGGTGGGTGTGACAGCTGACATGTGGAGGGAAGAGGAAGATGCAGGATGGTATGGTGGGGCAGCAGTGACACTGACATGTGGAGGGAAGAGGAAAGATGCAGGATACTATGGGGGGTGGCAGTGACAGCTGACATGTGGGAGGGAAGACATGCAGAATGGTATGGGGCAGCAGTGACAGCTGACATGTGGAGGGAAGGGGAAGATGCAGGATACTATGGGGGGTGGCAGTGACAGCTGACATGTGGAGGAAGAGGAAGATGCAGGATAATGGGGCAGCAGTGACAGCTGATGTGGAGGGAAGATAGGAAGGCAGGATGGTATGGGTGGCAGTGACAGCTGACATGTGGAGGGAAGAGGAAGATGCAGGATGGTATGGGGCAGCAGTGACAGCTGACATGTTGGAGGGAAGAGGAAGATGCAGGATGGTATGGGGGGGTGGCAGTGACAGCTGACATGTGGATGTGGAAGAGAGAAGATGCAGGAATGGTATGGGGCAGCAGTGACAGCTGACATGTGGTGGGAGGGGAAGAAAAATATGCCGGATACTATGAGGGGCAGCAGTGACAGCTGACATGTGGAGGGAAGAGGAAGATGCAGGATACTATGGGGGGGTGGCAGTGACAGCTGACATGTGGAGGGAAGAGGAAGATGCAGGATGGTATGGGGCAGCAGTGACAGCTGACATGTGGAGGGAAGAGGAAGATGCAGGATACTATGGGGGTGGCAGGCAGGCAGTGACAGCTGACATGTGGAGGGAAGAGGAAGATGCAGGATGGTATGGAGCAGCAGTAACAGCTGACATGTGGAGGGAAGAGGAAGATGCAGGATGGTATGGAGCGGCAGTGACAGCTGACATGTGGTGGGAAGGGGAAGAGGAAGACGCCGGATACTATGAGGGGCAGCAGTGACAGCTGACATGTGGAGGTAAGAGGAAGATGCAGGATGGTATGGGGTGGCAGTGACAGCTGACATGTGGAGAGAGGAGGAAGATGCAGGATGGTATGGGGCGGCAGTGACAGCTGACATGTGGTGGGATGGGGAAGAGAAATATGCCGGATACTATGAGGGGCAGCAGTGACAGCTGACATGTGGAGGGAAGAGGAAGATGCAGGATACTACGGGGGGGGGTGGCAGTGACAGCTGACATGTGGAGGGAAGAGGAAGATGCAGGATACTATGGGGGGTGGCAGTGACAGCTGACATGTGGAGGGAAGAGGAAGATGCAGGATACTATGGGGCGGCAGTGACAGCTGACATGTGGAGGGAAGATAAAGATGCAGGATGGTATGGGGCGGCAGTGACAGCTGACATGTGGAGGGAAGATAAAGATGCAGGATGGTAGGGGGCGGCAGTGACAGCTGACATGTGGAGGGAAGATAAAGATGCAGGATTGTATGGGGCAGCAGTGACAGCTGACATGTGGAGGGGAAGAGGAAGATGCAGGATGGTATGGAGCGGCAGTGACAGCTGACATGTGGTGGGAAGGGGAAGAGGAAGATGCCAGATACTATGAGGGGCAGCAGTGACAGCTGACATGTGGAGGTAAGAGGAAGATGCAGGATGGTATGGGGTGGCAGTGACAGCTGACATGTGGAGGTAAGAGGAAGATGCAGGATGGTATGGGGCGGCAGTGACAGCTGACATGTGGTGGGAAGGGGAAGAGAAATATGCCGGATACTATGAGGGGGCAGCAGTGACAGCTGACATGTGGAGGGAAGAGGCAAATGCAGGATACTATGGGGCAGTATTTGACAGCAGCGGCTTGGCTGATTGTTTGCAGTGGGAGGGTGCAGAGGGTGAATGGCTTTGGGAGTGGAACTAGCGGTGACAGGGAGCAGAGGAGGAGGATGCCATCTTTAGCAGACCACACTTTCTGTGGGCGGTACAAACCAGGAGCCTGTGAGTCTTGTCCACCCAGTACAGCAAGCAGGGAAAGAAGTACTTCCCTGCTTGCTGTATAGAACTACAAATGAGATGTGCCAAGACTGGTGGCTGGGGGGAATAGGAGGAATAGCAGCCGCTGCTCTTATAAACAGGAAATCAAAAAAATAATGGTTTAATTTGAAAATCATCAGCCTATTTCACAGCAGTTACCGAGTTAACAAGAAGATGGATGACATATATTATTGAAGGTAGGAAACCAGCAACAAGGAAATGTTAAAAAGTTTTTGCCCGGAGTTCTGCTTTAAATTGCACTATTTTCTCAATTAACACTACCAGGTTGCACAGAGAGGTTTCTGGGGGCCCCATGATCCCATGACGAGTTAGTTATATCTCTGATCACAGGTGTAGAAGGAAAGGTGAGAACAAAAGAAATGAATTTCATATATACTGTAGGAGATGTGTTATCCATCAATCAGAAATAATCCATAAAATAACCATGCATGCTCTATATAGCATATACAGTACGTGGATTACTTTATACAATTTCCCTATTTGGTAATAATTATTGGGTAATTACATGCTGTAACTGAACTGCATTTTTTTTACTTAATAGCAACTTATGGCTAGGAATAGGAGAAATGTTATTGAATCCCAGGTTTAGTGAAAAATGTTGGTGTTTAATTCTTCTGGTGGTCTTGTATTTCAGGAGCAGTGAAGGCAGACAGAAAGAAAAGGACATGCGCTTTGCACCTGCGTAAATACAATGATGCCCTCCTTATTCATGACACTGTCAGAATGCAGGATGCCTATGACCTTCTGGACATGTTTTACATTGAAGAGAAGTTCATCAAGAATACGAATGACCCCATTGATGTCTTTCTCTGTCAGTTATTCAATGGTAAACAGCAAAAATGTATTTGTATATTATTTATATTATGTTAGGTGTAAATATTTTAACCACCTCCCGCCCGCCATATAGTAATATGACAAACACAAGGTGGTTCTCTCATTCTGGGAGGACGTCATATGACATCCTCCCATTCTCACCGCGCATGCACAGCTCAGGGAGCGCGCAGCGCGGCGATCGGCGGTGCGCTGTGTCTCTCGGACACAGCGATCATGGAAAGAGCCGAAGATGTCGGCTCGGTCATGTGATCAGCTGTGTCCAATCACGGCTGATCACATGTAAACAGGGAAATGCCGGTTATCGGCATTTCTCTCCTCTCAAGCTGTCACGCTGACAGCTCGAGAGGAGAGCCGGTAATCAGCTTTCCGCAGAGGGGACATGTACACTGATCATCAGGGCACCGATGATCAGTGTAGCCCCAGCAGTCTCACCTGTCAGTGTCCATCAGTGCCTTGTGTCAGTGCTAATCAGTGCCAGTGCCCATCAGTGCCACATCAATGCCACATATCAGTGCCTACCAGTGCACATCAATGCCACATATCAGTGCCCATCTGAGCTGCCTTTCAGTGTCACCCATCAGTGCCAGTCAGTGCCACCTATCGGTGCTGCCAATCAGTGCCACCTATCAGTTCCCGTCAGTGCTGCCTATCAGTGCCAGTCAGTGCCGCCTAACAGTGCCAGTCAGTGCCGCCTATCAGTGCCATATCAGTGCCGCCTATGCAGTGCCTTTCAGTGCCCATCAGTGCCACCTACCAGTGCCTCCTCATCAGTGCCCATCAGTGTCCATCAGTGCAGCCTATCAGTGCCCATCACTGCAGCCTCATTAGCGCACATCAGTGAAGGAGAAAAAATCACTTATTTACAAAATTTTATAACAAAAACTAAGAAAAAACTTTTTTTTCAAAATTTTCAGTGGTTTTTGGTTTGTTTAAGAAAAAAAAAATAAAAAAAAAACAGAGTTGATTAAATACCACCAAAATAAAGCTCTGTCACAAAAAAATGATAAAAATTTCATATGGGTACAGTGTTGCATGACCGCGCAATTGTCATTCAAAGTGTGACAGCGCTGAAAGCTGGAAATTGGCCTGGGCAGGAAGGGGGTATAAGTGCCCTGTAGGCTTGTGGTTAAGCAGTTCAATACAGGGCACTTTTACCCCCTTCTTGCTCAGACCAAATTTTCTGCTTTCAGTGCTCTCACACTTTCAATGACAATTACTCATGCAACTCTGTACCCAAACAAAATTTTTTTCATTTTTTTTTGGTGGTATTTAATCACCACTGGGGTTTTTTTTTTGCAATATAAGCAAAAAAACTGAAAATTTTGGAAAATAAAAGATTTTTTTTTTAGTTTCCATTACAAAATTTTGCAAAAAAGTAATTTTTTTCCTCATAAATTTAGGCCAAAATTTATACTGCTGCATATCTTTGGCAAAAATAACCCAAATTAGTGTATATTATTTAGTCTGTGTGAAAGTTATAGAGTCTACGTGTCATTGAAAATTAATCAATCCAGTGTTCTAACCGCCTATCTCAATTCTCGTGCCCCTGAAATGTCAGGACAGTACAAATACTTTTTGGAAAGTAGTCAGTCCAAGGCATTTAGTAAGAGGCATGGTGAGTTTTTTTAAGTTGTAATTTTTTCCCCACAATTCTTGGTAAAATTAACTTTTTTTTTTTTTTTTTTTAAATTTTACACAAAATTGTCATATTAACAAGTTCATTCTCACAAACAGCATAGGCAAACTTGTATTTACACCCCAAAATGCATTTTTCTACTCCTGAGTATGGGCGGTACCACATGTGTGAGACTTTTTCACAGCCTGGCCACGTACAGAGGCCCAACAGTCAAGTAGCACCTGCTCCTTCTAGGTACATAAATTACACATCTCCTGACTACCTATCACATTTTTAAAGGCCCTGGAGCACCAGGACAGTGGAAACACCCACAAAATGTCCCCATTTTGGAAAGAAAACACCCCAACATATATTCTACGAGGCATATTGAGTCTTTTTGAACATGTCATTTTTTCCACAAGTTTTTTGAAAATCTGCAAAGGAAATTAAAAATTATTTTTCTTTACCCAAAGTTGTCAATTTATAAGATATTTCTAAAACACAGCATGGGCATAGCAATAATTACACCACAAAATACATTCTGCTACTCCTCCTGAGTATGACGATACCACGTGTGAGACTTTATTACAGTCTAGTGGAATAACGTCCTTACGGGATGTCTTCAACTTACAAGCCAACCTCAATGCACTGTTTAATTGGGCAACTATGTGGCAAATGAGGTTTAATGTTGATAGATGTAAGGTTATGCACTTGAGGGCTAAGAATATGCATGCATCATACATACTAGGGGGGTACAATTGGGGGAATCAATGGTGGAGAAGGATCTGGGAGTTCTGGTAGATCAAAAGCTTAATAATGGCATGCAATGCCAAGCTGCAGTTTCTAATGAGAGCAAAATCCTCTCTTGTATTAAAAGAGGTATAGACTCCAGAGAGAGAGATATCATATTATCCCTGTATAAATCATTAGTAACACCTCATCTGGAATATGCAGTTCAGTTTTGGGCACCAATTCACAAAAAGAACATTGGGGAACTGGAGAAAGTACAGAGAAGGGCAACCAAACTGATACGAGGCATGGAGGAGCTCAGCTATGAGGAAAGATTAGAAAACTGAATTTGTTTTCTCTTGAGAGGAAGAGATTAAGGGGGGATATGATCAACATGTATAAATACATCAGTGGTTCATTTAGTGAACTCGGTGTAGAGCTATTCACCCTGAGGTCATCACAGAGGACAAGGGGGCACTCTTTACGTCTGGAGGAAAAGAAATTTAATCTGTAAACACGGAAAGGTTTCTTCACAGTGAGAGCTGTGAAAATGGAAAATAGACTCCCTCAAGAGTTGGTTCTGGCCAGCTCAGTGGATTGCTTCAAAAAAGTCCTGGATTCTTTTTTAGATACACAGAATATAACTGGATATTAACATTTATAGGTAAAGTTGATCCAGGGAATATCCGATTGCCTGTCGGGGATCAGGAAGGAATTTTTTTTCCCAGCAGGTGCAAATTGGATCGTGCTTTGCTGGGGGTTTTTTGCCTTCCTCTGGATCAACTGTATGTATAGGATTATAACTTTTTTTTTTTTCTATGGTTGAACTGGATGGACTTTTGTCTTTTTTCAGCCGGACTATGTAACTAGCTAAACAAAGGGTAAACAAAGATTACCTGTGGTTATAGTAGAGGCTGTGGTTATAGAAGAGCAGTTGTCCACAGAGGAGAGCACTGGTCCAGGAAGCAGGCAGAGATGTGGTCAGTAACAGCCAAAGGAATCGTTCAGGCAGGAACATGATTCATAAAACGTCCTGGGTCATTACAGGCAGCAGGCAGAGATATGGTCAGCACAGCCAAAGTATTGGTCCAAGCAACAGGCAGGAACATCAGGCTTAGGGCCCCAGTCAGGTAGAACAGGGGCACAGGGGTACAGGCTTCATCCCACCCAATCTCTTGGAAGCCTCTGGACTAACAGACTCTGTCCCGGAATTACAAAACACAGAGAAAACCAAAAACTGTTTTTCTCTACTCAGAACTCTGAAGCCCCTCACATGTGTGAGACCCCTGTGTTATCTTGATTCTCACTACTACAATAGCAGGGCAAAACATCAGTTCAAGCAGCAGGCAAAAAACATGGTTGATTACCAGGCCAAGGTCAGTGCAGGTGAAAGACAGAACATGGTTGATAAATAATCCAGATGACAGGCAGAGTCATTGTCGATAAACTGTCCTGGGTCAGTTCAGGTGGAAAGCAGAAACGTGGCCAGACGGAAGGCAGAGGCCAGGGTCAGTTAACATGGAAGGCAGAGTTATGGTCAATCAAGGAAGCAGGCAAATGATCAGCAAAAATATTATGTAGCACCATCCTAGTTTAGCTAGGGGGAGCTAGACCCTGATGGCTAGTGAGGAGCTGATTAGCAGCTCAGGGGAGATAGTAAGAGGGGTTAAATTCTAGTCCGAAGTGAGAGACTCTGCAGGCCAGCCCCTCTGTAATTCCCTCCCTGCTCTGAGGCCTTCGGAGGAGGGCCTTGAAGGCAGTGGGTGGATCTGAGGAGTGGTTGGCTGAATTTTTGAGGAATCTCAGCCAATCCCCAACAGGAGGCTTGGCAAAGGGCTGGACTCCCTTAAAAGGTGTTGGAGCCTGCTCAGTAGGGGGGAGTGTGGTGGTGGGAGAGGAGTGAGAAGCAGGAAAATGTGAAGCTGGAGGAGGAAGCCTGCCAGGAGGCCTAGTGGGATGAGACCTGACTGTGAGCCTGGAAAGGAGGAAACCTCAGGACTCACTTGTCCCCTTAGAGAGGACCACCTGTATGGCAGGGAAGAAGCACCCCCTTGGCGGATATGAGAAGGAGCACTATGGTGGGAAACCATCTTAGCCCTCTGCTAGTGACTGTACACCTTACGTAAAAGAACAAGTGCCAGATTCCCTGCTCATGAAGAAAGTCTCCAGATTGCTAAGTGAAGAGGAGTTCATCTGGAGTCTGAGGTAGTATAACTGGAGTTGCTGGCTAGCACTCCAACAGAGACTGCATCAGAGAAGGAGAAGCTGTGAATAGTTCAGGAAGTTGTCCTCAGATATCAGTTCCCTTGGGCATCCTATACACTCCTAACCCTATCCAAGTATAACCCCCCAATAAAATAACAAAACCAATGCTCAAGGCCTGACTTCTGTCTATGGATGAAAGCTGGTGTGGAAAATGCTAACTGACTGGCTGTGCAGGACTATAGTGGGGACCCAAATTAATCAGCGCCCCTAAGGGGCTAGTGCTACAATTTGAAATGGGAAAATGACAGGCTGTTAAACATAAGGGAAGCTAATATTTTAGAAATGTGTGATAAAGTCAGAAGCAGTCTCCACTGCATAGGCCCGGTTGGGAGGGATGTTGGGGACAATGAAAACTGGTGTCACTCCTAACTCCCCCTCTGCTG